CAGCGTATTTGGCACGTTGGTAACAATATGGGTTCAAGACCAGGAAGTGATCCAGAAGGTGATGTCTCTATAAAGACGTCCAGAGTGTAAATAAAGTTTGAAAGATGTTTCCATTTAAACCATGTTTAATTAACTAGCTATTCTTTAAGATGAGGGGAGGATTAAATTAGACTGGCCATGATAAAAAACAAGCCATGTTTGTGAAACAGAAATAATTTGAAAGAAAGTGGTAAAACAGAATGTCAATTTGCAACCTGCTGTTTGGTTATTTGCATACTAATTGTAATGTTCCTGCTGTCACATTACCTTCAGATTGAAGATCAGTCAGAAAGAAAAAAAAATCTGCATTACCTGTGACAGTCAGACAGTGGAACGAAAAAATGCCAGTGAAGTGAGTTGTTGTTTATAGCTATTTTTATCTAAGAAGATGCATGGAATGGGACAGTTGACATCTGATTAGCTGGGGCAGTTTTTTTCCCCTTCCTTCTTTATAATTAATATGCTGATTTTGGCCCTTGGGGCGATTTCTGCTTATCATACCCAAGAGTCATTCATTGAAATCAGTAAGATCATGCTGAGTGAAGCAAACAGCACCACTCTCATGAGGAAACTACATGGGATTAGGTCCATTCTTTTTAATTTGTCCATTCTTTGATACGCTTTTGCATGAGATTTGAAAGCAGTTAAATATACACTGAAGTTTCCAAGTATTTGTTATATATTACAGTTGTTACATTTATTGGTCCAATTTCTCTGCTGTTATACCCACCAAGGCAGCAGAGAGCTCTCAGGCTCACAGGTTTTCAGAAAATTGACAATGTAACAATTTCATATAATATATTTTATAATTTTGATTTGCATTTTTATATAATTTTGTACAGTTATCTTGCAAGTAAATTGACAGTGATTTCAAAATAATGCTTGCAATTTTATAGTATCAATGCAATCCTCCAAAATCAATAGGATGCCCATGATAGCATGTTGATGATCCCGTATTGCACCTTGATAAATATGCAATTAATGAATATTATTGTCTGTAATACATTTTACATTAACGCTATTATTGTCTGTAATACATTTTCATAGCTGTAAGTGGAATATAAGTCACAAACCCCCTGTACGGTTTAGTAAGAGCTGACACAACCTAGCTCATTGATTAGTTAAGAATATCAAATATATTTACAGATTAATCATGTTTGAGTTAAAAATTTTAAAAAGCCCCACAATACGTTATTCAGAATAAAGTTTGACTAGTTTACCAAGTGTTTGGTCTCTGGAAACACTGCTTTTTAAATTCAGTATTCAGGAGCACCAGCCCTCTCTAAGGTCAGCAACTGGTATAAAGATCAGTTCTTAGATGATTTCCGGAACAGATTGTTAGTTAGACAAGAGCATCATACACTTCATATTAGAGGTTACTATAAAATTCTCTCCTGACTGATGGGTGTCCAATCAACCCTGAAATAATCCTTCTTCATGTTTGTAATCTGAAGAAGCAGTAAAGCATTCCTGATCAGGTGTTATGCAGCACAAGAAGAAAGATTCCTCCCCTCAAGAATGACGAATAGCGTCTGTAGCTGATAAACATATAAGCCTGCAGTGATCTGGTGAGTCAACAGTCACTAAGGCTTGGTCTACACTAAAGGGGAAGTATCAGAGGGGTAGCCGTGTTAGTCTGAATCTGCAAAAGCGACGAGGAGTCCTGTGGCACCTTATAGACTAACTGAAGTGTAGGAGCATAAGCTTTCGTGGGCAAAGACCCACTTCGTCAGAGAGGAAAGTTCTCAGTTCTGAATGCAAAGCTGCCAGCAGCAGCAGCAGCAGCAGCAGCAGCAGCACAGATGTAAGGACAGCACGGTATGGTATCTGCACCCTTACTTCTGCACTGCTTCTGGCAGGGTAGTGCCCTTACAGCTAAGCAGCCAGCCAACAGTCTCCATTCTCTGAGCTATAAAGGCAGATCAGAAGAGTGACGATACTGAGATTTGCCCCACCTCTCCTACACACAATAAAGCCCCTGCAAGCTCTTTTGGGTCAGGTCTCACACTTTGAGAGATGGTGGTCACTCCAGTGAAATCTGTATAGTATAGGGTGACAGTACACAAAAGGCCAGATTTCACAAGGCTGGATTTAGCTGTCTGTGATGTGTTTTTCATGGCTATGAATCTGGTAAGACCTTGGGAGGTTCTCACTCCCAGCCTAGGCTAACCTAAGTGCTTGGAACTGGTAGCTAATCACAGAAATGCCAACTTCAGGACATCAGAAATCATGAGTCAGACCCCCAAAATCTTGATTTTTTTCCCTCAAGATTTTATTGTAGTTTTGATTAAGTGCCAAAGAGGATACCAAAGCCTTACTAATGCCAAATAATTGCTTTTTTTTAGATTTGAGAAATTAGCTAACATATCATATTCCACACACCTGGGGCTCGTCTACACTGGCCCCTTTTCCGGAAGGAATAAGTAGGAATAAGAGCCTCCGGAAAAGGGCGCTTTCTCCGGAGGATCGGGGCCAGTGTAGACGCTCTTTTCCGGCTTTTTTAAAAAAAAAAAAAAAAAAAGCGGCGGACTTTTTTATTTAAATGCCGCGGGGGATATTTAAATCCCCCGCGGATTTCCCTACTACGATAGGTGAAATTAACATGCCCCTTCCGGAAAAGGGGCCAGTGTAGACGTAGCCCTGAAGAATCAGCCTCAGCCAGTTTCTGCATTGTCCTTTTAAGTAGGTAGTTTGGCATTTTTCTCAGCACAACCCACTTCTCCCACTAATTTTTTATTATGAACCATGATTAGGGAATGAGGGTAAGATCCTCTCCTTTGCCCTCATTCCCTAATCCATAGGGTGTTAAAAATAGAGGGCTTACAAATGCCATAGACATTTCAGAAAGAGTTTTTTGTGGTGCATGTGATCAGACTCCCACTCATCCCACTGTAACTCCATGTGCTGGTGGTTTCTTTTCATTTTAGAGAATCTTGAATCCTTAACTTCCCCAAGATTTTTACCATGAATTTAACAACTCAGGACAGTTCACAATTGAAAAGGCTTAAATAGATACTCCCCAACTGTTTGCTTGTTGTTTATCTTGGCTGATCCTTTGGGCAAGCAACAAATATTTGCCATTAACAATCAATTAGCTAACAGAAAAATACTGACACTATGTGTACACCTAAAATGGTACAGAAGCACTGCTGTAGCACTTCACTTAGGAAACTTGCCACAGCTCCCATTGCTGTAATGAATACATATCTCCAACAGGTGGTAGTTAGGCTGATAGAATAATTCTTTTGTTGACCTAGTATTGTCTACATAGGAGATCTATGTCTCTCAGGGGCATGAATTTTCACAATCCAGCAAGATGTAATTATGTTGATGTACATTTTCAGTGTAGATCAGATCTAATTTACATGCACCCGTCTCTTCACCAAGGGAGGGGAGTGTATTCAAAATGTGTTATCCTATTTTAGACATAGTAAATTGCAGTTTTTACATACTAGCTGATCGAGATAAACCCTAAGCATAGGGAAAGTGTTAAAACTACAATATGCATAATCTGTGCTGCTAGGATTATAACATTTTAGACATGGTCAAACATTTGAGTGGCATAGTCATTCCACTCTGTATATCAATATGTAAAGCACATCTTGATGAAATGCTAAAATATAAGTGATGGGTGGTTTAAAAGTGTCTAAACTAGACAGATTGTGCTATAAATATTGTTATTCAGTAAAGTCTGTAGAAAGTGGACATTTAAAAAAATGCAGCCAGCCTAATCAACAGAATGTATAAACAACCACTTTACTGCTCAACGTCAGATATCCCTTAGAGTGAAAGACCTATATAAATAATGGATTTTATTCATTAGCGGAACAATGGATAATAGTTCAGATGCTCAGTAAGTCTGCTTTAGACCATATTGCACATGCATCCAGTCCAAAAGGAGCACTTAAAACTATTAATTAGTTTGGGAAAGATGTGCTCTGACAGGTTCCTAAAATTAGATACATCACCCCAGAACTGAAAATGTTTCAAGTAATTGTATTCGTGTGCTTTCTTAGAGATGGAAGAGAGGGAACCTCCAACACCAATGGGAAACAAACAAGAGAAATTATAATAGTTTTTAACATCCATTAACCAAAATGTTGTTGAGAATCAAAACTAAGTATGGATCCAGATTTTTATATCACTAGAAAACTAAGAAATAGTCCATTTATCCCTCCATTGCTAGTGTGATAACCTTTAAGATAATTCTAGTTTTTCCAAACAAAAATTGTCATGTAAATTAATGGTTAATCCATTCAAAGTTAAGAAGAGATCCAGCAATCCACCACAAAACAGTGACTAATATCTCTCCTGCATTTTATTATAGTTCAGCCAATTGCAAACATAAAACTGCTGTCTCCTAAATTAATAATCAAGAGTATGTCTACACTAGCCACCCTGGTTCGAACTAGGGTGGCTAATGTAGGCATTCGAACTCCTGCAATGAGGAGTAACGGGAGTCCGAATTAGGGGCTTTAGTTCACACTACCTAGCCCGTGCCGCGTGTCGCTGCAGGCAGGAAGTTCGAACTACTGGGCATTTAAAAATGTCGGTGCCCGGGAACATGCAAATAAAACCCAGATATTTTAATCCTGGGCTTCATTTGCAAGTTCGAATGCCTACATTAGCCACCCTAGTTCGAACCAGGGTGGCTAGTGTAGACATACTCTTGATTATAGCAAACTACATTCTACTTTGCAGTGCTTTATGGTTATCTACACACTAAAAAGAAATCAGGCTTTCTTTTCTTTTCTTTTCTTTTCTTTTCTTTTCTTTTCTTTTCTTTTCTTTTCACCTTTTACTGTTTGATAAATGGTGCAATGCTCATTTTGCTTCATTAATGAATTGAGGATAACATGTTCCAAGTAACAGAAAAACTAACATATACTGCATTGGCAAAAGATCACAATGCTATTTTCAAGGGTAGATGTTGTTTCCACAGGTCAACGTCTAGGGAAACAATGGAGTGGTCTGAGTCTGTGGATACACTACTGGAAAGTAAAGGTAAGAAGTATCTGTAACTGTAAAAACATATCTACTGGCCCTGTTTACCTGAAAGCTTTGGCACAGATTTCAAAGGCCTCAGATTCAAGCCCAAAGATGCTTGAATGTCAGTTTGAGCTGAATATGCCACCTACAATTAGTTTTGAAATTACTAGATACTTTCAAAAAAATATACACATATGCTTTCAGTTAGAATCCCACTGAAGAATTTGGACTCATTTAGATTATTGCCCTGGTGTTAAGCAGCCAGAATGGAGGATGGAATTTGGCCAGCTCTTTCTAGAAAATCTTCCACTTTGACTCCAGTTTTCCTGTCCAAGGAAGTGGAAGTTTTCTTCCAGTATAAGCTTTAAACTTTGCCTAAACTCTGATAGCTTGAAACTTTGCAGTTGTGCAACCTAAATACATCTTCATAAGATGCCCAGAATTTTAATGGGGAGACAAAAAAAGGAACAGGTCCAGGGAAATGTCTCTAAGCTGTACAGTCAGTGGTGCATTTATCTAAAAAGTGACCAGCATTAAGGTGCCAGATAAAGCAGCCTTCCTCACCACTCAGGGTATGTCTACACTACCATCCTTGTTCGAACTAGGGTGGTAATGTAGGCAACCGGAGTTGCAAATGAAGCCCAGGATTTGAATTTCCCTGGCTTCATTTGCATAAAGCTGGGCGGTGCCATTTTTAAATGTCCGCTAGTGCGGACTCCGTGCCATGCGGCTACACGTGGCATGGACTAGGTAGTTCGGACTAGGCATGAGGAGTAACGGTAGTTCGGACTTGGAAGCGGCTACACGCGGCACGGACTAGGTAGTTCAGACTAGGCTTCCTAGTCCAAACTACCGTTACTTCTCACACTAGTGGACATTTAAAAATGGCGGCGCCTGGCTTTATGCAAATGAAGCCAGGGAAATTCAAATCCTGGGCTTCATTTGCAACTCCGGTTGCCTACATTACCACCCTAGTTCGAACAAGGATGGTAGTGTAGACATACCCTGAGTGGTGAGGAAGGCTTCAGATATTAATTTACATCTACACCGTAAGTATAATTAGATGAACACATACCTCCTATTATGTGAGAAATAGTAATGCCACATTAGTTTTACTCCTTACAAACTTAAATATTCCTGTGGAATTCTTGGTTTTGCTCTCCGAGCAGTATTGCAGTTTGTTTACACCTTTAAGGCAATGAAAATATTATGGAGAACAGTGAGCCTTCGTTATAGCACTTGAGTCTCATTCACACAGTAAGACAGTTCTACCCATCCCTAGGACTATGAGTCACCTTGTTAACGCCTGCTTGTAATGACAAACAGGCTTTCTTGTGCATAACTGGATGTTAGCTCCCTGACAACTCCAGTCTATTGACTACCCAAAATCTCCTCTGGGCTGTGCCATCCCTTTCTTTACTTTTCAGGACAACAGTAGGTGCATCCCAGTTCCCAAGTCCCTTTGAAGCATTGCTATATTGTGTACAATCCCATATCCATTGAACACTCACTGAAAAAAACAGGTCTTCTGTCCCAAGCAAAATGAATGTGCCGACTGCACTGTTGATTTCACATCCCCTTGTATATACATGGGTAGCCAGTGTGTTAGTTTACACTGCTTAACATGCTGCTAGAGAGACTGGTCAATAAAGCATCTTTTGTGACCAAAAGCCAGTTTGTCAACTAGCTTGATACAGACTTTAAAACACATTTTCATTATATATATATATCTCTTTCCATAGTTTCCTACGTAAACATTTCACAACAATATTAATGAACAGTGTGACATGCTTTCATTTAAAATTTCACATGATAGTTTTTGGTGAATCTGAGTATACATACTAGGATCAGGATATTATTGTAACCCTATTTCTAGATGGCACTCGGGGGTTTATGGGTCACAGGATCCTTTACATAGCCAAAATGATGTGAATTTAAGGATGCTTGTAAAACAGAGATTTAGACTGCTAAACCCTTAGGCTGTGTCTACACTGCCCACATAACCCGTAATAGCTATGGAAATGAGAGAAGTCAGAATAGGAAAATGCGCGGGGGATTTAAATATCCCCCACGGGATTTAAATAAACATGGCCG